TATTAGACAATGGAAGTCCGAACTGATGAAATACACAAGTCGATTAATTCTGCCAGCATAAAAATCGTGTTCCCGGGATTCGATGAAGTCGACAAATGCCGTTTTTGCCTGGTCCTGATTGGCGAAGGTTCTACCGGTGAGAAAATTATCGAAGTTCCTGAGAAGACGGTAGTCGGTTTGCGAGAGATCTGGGCGGGTGGGACAACTCGACGCTATATTCGTTTATTTTTTGGGCGGTTATTTGTGAAAAGTGTGGACGGGCGTTCTCGTGGAACAGGATCGGACCTCTTCCGTTGACCAATGCCGGCTGCTGCGAACGCTATATTCAATATATTCCGTCGATTTCCTCACAAAAGAAATCTGCTGTGATGGTTTGGCCCGGTTGCAGAAGATATAATGAATTAGACCAGACATTGATCACTATACAGTAACCATGGTATTTTTTGGTTGGTGTTTGCCAGGGTGGCTCATCGGTGTCCAACTACTGTCCTGAACGTCTCCTGTTATCGTACAGGATCCACTTTTCATCAGACGTGACGATTCGGTCCAAAAAAGGATCGTTTTGGTTGCGCAAAAGCAAAGAAAAACACTCTTCGAAAATTTCTTTCAATCGTTCAAATCATTGGGCACCCACTTTTCAAGCATTTTGACCTTTCCAATACTTTTTAAACCATTAAAAACGGCATAAGAACTGACGCCCAGTCCTTTCGTCATCCACAAGCGGATGGTTCAATTGCAACAACAGCCATAGCGAATCTACTAGCTGAACAATTCACGCCCCACTCTCCAGTCGATTATTTAGGAAAGGCACCATTCCCTATTCCCACACTAGAATCAACAATGCCGGGAATAACTTTTCGGCAGCGTCCAGTCAGGCGAATTTTGAAACAGCTCAATATCATCAAGGCGTCTGGCCCTGATGAAGTGCCCGTCATCTTACTTTATTTTGTACCTTGAGAGCTGTCTGACTTGTCCAATCAGTCCAAGTCTCCAGAAAACACTGCATCCTCTTGGGCTTTTTGCGTTTATTCTCACATCTTCTTATGACACCTACTCCATCAGTCTCGTTTCCTGTACTAGTTCGTACAGGTTCCGTGTTGGATGATCGTCATATTCTTCGCGTAATTTTGTACGTCCATATATTGCCTGCCTCCTGTGATTCAGTGCCTCACATTCGCATAAGATGTGTAGAGCTGTTTCTATCCCTTCGTTGCATAATCTGCAGCTGAGGTCTCCGTTGTACAGCCCCATTTTATTCAGGTGACCTCTAAGCGGACAATGACTGGTTAGTAACCCTGTAATTATTCTGAGCCGATCCCTACTATATTGAAGTAGTTCTTCGATTTTTTCTCGGACGGTTCCCTAATGAAGGTTCTACTGTGTTTGTTGCCAGGTACTTTTGTCCAGTACTCTGTGTGATTCTTATTGGTCCATGTCCTAATCTGGTTTCGTACCAATGATTTTGGTACCCCCAGAGCTGGTTCAGAACCTATATATGAAGTTGATGATCCGCGTCTAGCGCATTCATCAGCTTTATCATTACCTGGGATTTCTGAATGCCCTGGCACCCAGTACAAAGTTAATTTGTTCCTGTTTGCAAGTTCATTCAGTTCTTTCTGTAAAAATATTGATCCGCTCATTTCTTTGAGGTCTTAATTTAATAAGCCTTGCACACTGCAAGATAGCATACACTTCCGCCTGAAAGACAGATGTGTATAGTCATAGCGGATAGCTGTAGTTTAGATTTCTATCCGCTCGGTATATTCCAGCTCCCGTTCCATGTTTGGTCTTCGATCCATCTGTATACCAGGTGTTTTTTCCAAACATGTTTTCGGGATGACTAATGGTCTTCCAATCTTCACGGCTTATGATTTTGACCGTGAAGTTTGTGTTGAAGGTGTACTTCGGTGTCATGTGGTCCATGCACATATTCAATATGTGCTCCTCCACTTGTTCCGAAATTTCTGTTCGGTCCGATCTTTTGTAGTTCGTCCAAGAAAGCAGCTAAAAGTACTTCCTTGTTTTTGTAAGTATATTCTACTTTTTCTGTTACCCGACATAGAGCCGTTTCTGTCTCGATGTAATGGTCTGATAGCCAGTGATACGTTCCTGATATGCCTGTCAAGTAATTTTTCTAGCGTTTTCAACGCAAATGACATGAGACAAATTGGTCTCAAAGCCTTCGCCGAGTCCTGTTCGATTTTCCCAGGTTTCGGAATGGAGGTGGCCCTGATCAGTCCTCAAATTTTTGGTATGTGTCCCAGTGGTAAGCTTGCCCTGAGAATTACACACAATTTTTTGAAAAGTACTTCCGATCCCTTTTGAAGCATTACTGGGTATATGTCATCCGATCCCGGCGACTTATAAATGAGTTTACAGCCCATTTGATTTTCTCCATATCTCCAGTTCATCGTACTTAAAAAGTGCGCAAATGAACTCGCACCAGTATTTTGCAAACTTTTCAACCTGTCTTGCAAAAGAGGGGGTTTTCCTTCTTGTTGGATGATTGCTCGCGTTCAGCCTTTTCCCATAAAGGGCAAGAAAAAACGTCCAAATAACTATACACCAGTCGCTTTGCTATCAGTGATATCAAAAATCATGGAGAAAGTAGTAAACCACCATATCTTTAAATATTTGGAAGGCTTCAACATCTTGACAATCATCAATATGGCTTTCAGAAACAAAGATCTACAGCATCCTGTATACGACGGTTTATTTTAAAAGCCTGCAATATTACAAATCACACAACTATGTTGTTGACCACAGTCGTTTTTTTTTAAGTAAAATAATTTTCAAAGTTTTTGGTGCAAAGTTATTTTTATTTTTTCTTCACACCGAAAATTACTCAAAACTGTACAGTATTGTAACAATAACTTATTATTCAATGATATCAAATCACAAAACATTAAAATAAAATAGATATTTTGGAACAAACTCATTGATTTTCTGGAGATTATTTTGGAGAATTATTTTGGACAAGAAAATCTCCAGAAAATCAATGAGTTTATGGTTAACACCATAGTTGTGCAATTCGTAATATTACAGGCTTTCAAAATAAACTGTCGTATACAGGATGCTGTCTATTTATCGTTTTAGCAAATTTTCATTTTTCGTAGTTCCCATTTTCAAAAAAATGGGTAAAAAGAATACTTTGTTCAGATGGCCATAACTTCAAACCTAGATTTATTTTTTAATGCTGAACAACTTTTTCAAATAATATTTCCCGAGATTTTTCAAAATAAGAGTACTTTACTTCTGTCTCAAAATCAAATATTTGAAGGCTTCTCATGTGTTTACGTGTGTTTTACTGTATTTTGTTGGGGGATGTTTAGTTTTAGGGTATGCATAAACTTTTATCCGGAATCATAAGTTTCCCATATGGTGCATACTTTGGGGATGACACTGTATAAAAAATATTGTTTCTTTATCATTTGCCAAAAAGGGTAATTTAAAATCAAAAATAAATTACAGTGGTTTCGAAGGCTACAAAATTGTGATATTTTTTTATTTTTCTTCAATAACAATTACAATATATCTGTTAGGGTTTCATTCCAGAAATGTAAAGCCAAATATCACTGATTACCCCGCCATTTCAATATACGATAAAGAGGAAAATATTGGTAAAATTGAGAAAGTACAGATCAAAAACTCAGTTTTAAGACCTAGACTTTGTGCTGAAAATGATAATGAGCTAAGAACAAAACTGAAACTCCAAGACTGGTCTACTGGAAATGAGCTTCTACTGGAAATGAGCTTTTCATTATTTTTCTCATACTCTAGTATGATATTTTGACATATCATGTCTAAAAACATATACGTCTTCGAAATAACGAATAAAATCAGGTATCAAATCATAATTAAAGAAAGTGAATGATGGCAGGAAATATTTTGGATATTATCACACTCTCATGAAATCAATTCAATTCTTGAATGTGGAGATAACGCAAAAGTTAAACAATTCAAAAAATGATAACGGCTAAAATGAATCATGAAACGTCAAAAATTAAAATGTAAGAAAAATTCAAAAGCAAGAGGTAATCGTCGAATATTTTTGAATATATGTATGTCAAAGTTTGCAAATAATGTCTAGTTCAAGTAAACGATATAGTGCAACCTACCTACCTTCCATCAGGTGAGTGGGAAAGTAGGGGCTAACCATTCCTCTTCCATATTCTCTGTTTCACTGTCACTGTCGTCATTTAAATCATTAATATGGAAGTGTCCAATTCTCCATATAGTCTTTTTAAAATTACTTTCTTAATCCTTTTCTGCCAGTCTTTGGTAATATTAGATACTTCTTCTTCAATTAGCTCTATTACCTTCTTTTTTTGGAAAACTATTTTCACGCCTGATGCGTTGTTATCACACTCGTTATTACTATTAGTACTTGTCCAAGGACGCCACATTTTGAACAGATAACAAAAATTTTAAGTAATTAAACAGCACCAATATAGAATTTCAACACTCAAATCGCAATTAGTTCCTGAAATGAACACGACGGCAATAACCATCCCCGCATTCACTGATTTCTATTCGTCACCGTAACATGACTTCAAATTCAATTTTATGACTCTTCAGACAGTCATAAAACTCGGTTAGTAAAAATTATCCAATACGAACCGCCAATTCTACAGTGCACGTGGACTATTTCGCAGCCGGTTCATTTCTATGTATTGGTTTTTTTGGCCGTTGACAGTGCCGTCAACTTTAAGAGTGCACAATATCGTTTACTTCGGCTACAATAATAAGTATTTGAGCAAATTTTAATTTATTGAAATACTTTATATATTCGATACCTTTCTTTTACTTTTCGGTGGCTTGTCATTTATACGCTTTGTATTGCCAAAAGTCAACGAATATTATTATTTTTATAATTTCGAAAAATTCTTGAGGCACCCTGTTTGAATAACTCCAATGAGTATCAACTGAGTTATTTCAATTTCTGAAGGTCCAGTGGATCTTCTAAAATTTTCAAATTCACAATCAAATTCATTTTCTAGATGTAACGCATCTGTCGACCACTGGATCAACCGTGAAGCCATCTCCTAGTTCAACGACTCTAGAAGATGTTCTGGACTCTCTTCTGGGCCTTCCTTCTACAGGCAGAGCTCCAAGTCCCAGTCTCCAAGGTAGGAGACATGTGTAAGTTTCGTTTTCAGGTATCTTCTCGATTCAGATTCGCTTCAGCACCCCATTTTAAAGTTCGGCAGCATTTTATAGAAAATTTCGCTTGAATAATTCGGTCTTATATTTGGAGATGTCAAGTTGACGTCGATTTCTCGTAAATAAATTATTAATGTTCCAAAATATTTTCAGTCTTATAATAATAATAATAATAATAACTTTACAATTGAAACAAAATATGTGAACAAAGTGGTTTAGCGGTAAGAGCAAAGCTCTTGTTTCGCAAGAAGTTATAAAGAATATGTGAGTATATAAATGATTTTGAAAAAGTACAAAACATTTTATTGAATTTTGTGAATTTGGTGTTATAGTTAAACAAATTATATTTCGGCTTGAGGTAAAATAGTCCGATTAAATACTAGACAAAACAAAAAGAAAAATAGATAAAACCTTGGACAAATATTACACATTTTATAAAAATAGAATATTAATGTACAAATAGATAAAATCTTAGGCAATATGGATAAGATTATACTACTTATTGAAAGATAACGTGGAGTTCTATATCAACAATTTTGTGAACGGCTGTCAGAAAGTGAAGTTTGCGTAGTTCATTGAGACGTAACTTTTTTGTTTCTTTATATTCTTTAATTACTAATGGGCTGAAAGGTTTCTAGGCTAACACACAGATGAAGCTACTAGTATTAAATCCATGTGATTTTTAATCAACCCTAACCTTCAAATTATACCTGTACACATTTTACAGCTGTCGGACTATTAACTTGTGGTACAGAACATTTTGAGGAAAGCAATTTTTGTTAGTTTGAAGAAAATTGATAAAAAGGAATTTCGCGTGTTGATAAAGCTCTTTTGGCTAGAAAAATACTTTTGAAGCCAAATCTTGGCTTGGTTAACATTATTCGGACTTTGCACCAGGAAAAGCAACGGTTGAGAAATGGTTTGATGAGTTTAAACGAGGTGAAACAAGCACCGAAAAATGTACGCAGTGGACCCTTCATAGAGGCTGTTGTCGACGAAAATATAAAAAAAGTCCTCAAAATAATTTTGTATAACCGCAAAGTTGAGTTGATCCAGATAGCGGATCTATCAGAAGATATCAAAAGAACGTGTTGGACATATCGTGCATGAATATTTGGGTATGCGAATGCTCTGTTCCAAGTGAGTGACGCGCACAATCGATCAAAAACAACAATGAATTGATGATTCTAAGCAGTGTTTGAAACTGTTCCACCATAAAAAACCCGAGTTTATGCAATAATATGAGAATGGATGAAACATGGTTCCATCATTCCACACCAGAATCAAAATGCAAAGCATGCAAAGAGCAACAGTCGCCTGGCAAGGTATCAGTATTTTGGGATACGCTAAAGAGAAAATCCATTAACAGCGACTATCACATAGCATTATTGGAGCGTTTGATCGACAAAATCGCGTAAAAACAGCCCCATTTGAAGAAAAAGAATGTGCTGTTTCATCAAGACAATGCACCAAAGTGTTTAAAGACACAACAGTCGGCTGGCCATTTTGGTATGCGCATGGTATAATATTCGTTGACTATCTTGAAAGAAACCACCAACAGCTACTATCACATAGCGTTATTGGTGCGTTTGAACGACGAAATCGCAGAAAAACGGCCCAATTTGAAGAAAAAAATGTTTTGTCAAAACAATGCACCGGGTCACAAATCAATGAAAACGATGGCAAAATTGCATGAATTTGGCTTCGAACTGCTTCCACATCTACCTCATTCTCCAGATCTGGCCCCCAGCGACTTTTTCCTGTTCTCGGACCGCAATAGAATTCTCGCTGGAAAAACATTCAGCGCTGGTGAAAAGATAATCGTCGAAACTGATACGTGCATTTTGTATAGGCTGTAGACGCATTTGACCGTTGAAGGGCCGGCAGGGCCGTAAATGTAGTCACAGTACGATAATTTTGAAAATATCAGAGGTTCGCAAATTATCAATTTCGAATCTTCATTCACAACACTTCTGTTGGGTTAGGGTTCGACTGTATGTAGTGAAAATCGATCGACCGATCTCTGGTCTATCATGGATGTAATAACAGGTACTTGCAACGAAATTACTACAGAAACATTCTATTATGTGAGAAATGAATTTTTAAACTGATTACATTGTGTAAAAAATGAGTGGTTAAATTTTGAAAATTCATTGGAATGAACTGGAGTGGGTTCTTGATAGAATTTTCATTGAAATTCTTGAAAAGAATATGAAACTGTTAACCTGTGTTGAATAGAGAATCGATGCTGTTTACGACTTTGATAATCTAGTTCCTTTCAAAAGGTGAGAGGGGAAAACTTCAACATCTGCACTGTATAAACCGAATAACCCTAAGCCACGAGACTTCTTGAAACTTTTATGATTATCATCATTAAAATAATTCAAAAAAATTTTGTTGGTTGCTCAAAAATTATTTTGTATTATTCAGGTCTTGCCATTTTTTGACTGATTTAGTTTGGAACACTCAGGCAAATTTATATTGAATATGAATTTTGTCAAGATATGTACAAAAACCATCACAATGTTTTTCAAGTATGTTTCTAATGCTCTTATTCCATCTTGGCACATTTCGACTATATTGAAGAGGTCATTCTCTTGTCCAACAGGAGAACTGTCTATATTAAATCTGATGGTACCTGCTTATGATTCATTTATTTATATGTGGTTCATTAAACATGATTTTCAACCATATACTACTACTAATACTTCTGCTACATTCTCTTACAGGACGATATATGACAATAGTAGTACATATCACGGGGTACAACGTAACTATGCTAACCAGATGTCAGTACAAGAATAATTATAAACTTGAATATAATGAGAGAAGAAATGAAATAAAGTATTCGATATTAATTATGACTGGTTCGTTCACCAAACTTTTACTTTATATTTCATTTTTATTTCAAGAAAGTTATCATAATTTGAATAAATGGGAGCACTCATAAACCACACTTTAAAGTAAAAGATAAACGTTTGGTGTATGAACCAGACATAAATTGATGCATAAATGCTTACTTGAAATCGAGTCAGTTTTTTATCAAAATCAAGCAGAGTATCATTGAAGGCATCAAAAGTGTTCAAAATAAATTCCTAACAGAGATTCTTGAAGAGCCTTTTCTTGCAGTTTAAATTTGAAAGAAACTCTTGTGCATGACCTACACATCTTGGTTTCACACATTTTTTAATAAAGGTGAAGAAATAGAAAGCCAATAAGTTTATTTCCCAGAAACTAATCGCTCCTATAAATATCTCCCCTTCAAATTTAAATGTAATTTAGAGTATTTACTTCTTCGCAAAACATTTCACATGAAAAATATTCTAATATTGGTCTCACTAATGTTCCGGGAATCCGGCAGGACTTCAAGGTCGCGGATCAACTCACAAGGTTTGATTATTTCATTAAATTTTGATTGGATGGACTATAGGTTGTTAAAAAAAATAATACATGATCTGTTAACTTTGATAGATAACTTATTGTTCACACAATAGTCATAAATAGACTATTGGAATCACTTTCAATGTCAAAAAAGTCTTAAGCGCTTTGATTTAGTTTAGATAAGTTTTGAAGACCATCAGTTTATATGAATTTTTTCAACTGTTTGATAATATTTCAATGCAAATCACGATTATACATTTTCTAATAGTGTCTCTCATGAGAAAAGTAGGCCATGCATCTGCCTGCTCTTTTTCAGATTCAATAAGTAAATAAAAGTAAATCTCACCATCACACAAAGAAAATCTTCTCCAAAGGGTTCGAAATTACTAATTGGATCATGATAGTGAATAAATGGAGCTCATTTTTTCTATGAAGAAACATTTAACCTACATTTCAATTTGTAATAAAAACTGAATACATTCCAAGATCTATCAAACTTTTATTGTGACAATTAAGAAACTATTTCAACATCTACTACCCCTCAGTATTGACATCTTGATCGTCAATAAAAATATTAAGACGATGAATAATTCTAGCAGGTCTCTTGTAGATTCCTGGGATGTTTTCACATCTGCAATTCTTATTGCATTAATGTTTTCGATGATTCCTAGTGGCCATGTTTCCTTTGGGATGTTTGGTTCATTGATCATAACACAATTCATTCTCATTTTCTGGTTCTGAACATACCTTCAGGAATTTTTTACTGCATCTTCATGAATATTCAACCAGACATACTGAGCGATTTGCTAGCAAATATGTTTTATATTTACAATTATTTTCTCTATAGAAAATTTACAACACCGGTACACTTGTTTCGCAATACAGTAAGTGCTTTTCACAATTTTGTAAACCGGTTTTAGAGAAAAAACAGTAAACTGTAGTATAGTGCCCGCACATATAACTTCATGTATTGGATTAGGTAAACCATAGAAACTAGATTGTCCGTTAAACAGGATGAAGGTTACCTAACTTTACTTGAACCTTATATTTTTTCCATGACATTTTCATTGAGGTACCTTAATTTACTGTTTATTAAGTCTTTCATAGAACCGCCACCGTAATGTGCAGGCCTGTGAATGACATAGATTAATTTTTTTGTATCAACTCAGACAATTTTTGAAACTTCTTACATGCATAAGTTTTCTTCTTTTGTTTCGCAGAACTGACACATAATAAATCATAACCTAACCTCCATTTCCACTCTGGTGTTGTTTGATACATATAACAAGGTACTTATGTACAGCTTGTTGAATCTAGAGATCCAAGAATTCTTATAACCTGCGCGTTTCCCGGACCATATCAAAATTAAGAAAACTCTTCCTACAGTTGACAAGCTCTACAAATAATATATAGTAATATAATAATAATAACTCCGCAGACTCTATCCAGACCACTCTGTCAAGATGGTTGTTCTGAAATGATGTCCTCTCTACTCTCGAATCTTAAAATCATACCGGCTTGCCGCACTAAGGCAGAAATCTTAGCCGGACAAATGCAGAAGGCTGTCATTCTTGCGCTTGCTCAGGGCACAAGATTCTCGGACCCAATGATTAATTACTCCACGGTATGGGGAGTGGTCGTTGGTTGATTATGTTGGCGCGCCGTCCTGAATGTATCGGGGCTTCGGGGGATAGGGCCTGACCAGTGCCAACTACGGTAAAAAAAATTAATACAACATTCAAGAGGCGAAGTTCAAAACTGCGGTGTAAAACACTACAGGTTTGTTCTACCTTCAGGTACACTTGTCAATTGTAGAAGTAGCTTTCAAAATTTGAATATGGTTCAGGGAATACGCAGTTTGTGACAATTCTCAAGCCTTGACAACGTGTATTTTTCTATTTCTTGGATTGGAATTATCCTTTATCTTTCACATATATCAATCAACACGGAGAATATTGAGAAAGACCATTTTCAAAGAAAAGTTATAGTTTTGTGGTTTTGGGCTACATAAATATATTTTTGGCACTTCCATCAATTTTTTACATTAAAAAATTATTCAGAAGAATTGGCCACGATTACTGGAAGCTGAAACCAATTTTTCAGAGAGATTCATCTTTTTTGTCGCCTAACAGGTCACTTTTTTGATCACCCTTTGTTCCTTACATCGTCACTTCTATCGATTAATACGAAAAATATCAACCAAAGGGCTTAGCTTAAATTAAGTGATGTTCATTGTATTCATGTTACTCAATTTCTAATGTATTAATTTTTTAAAAAATAACAAATTTTTCAGAGACGGTGTCAGCTAATACTAGTCCCTGCCACCAAGGACAGCCGCCAGACCCTTCGGATCAATTTCGTCGGCGCTCTGAAGGCTCTGAACCAGCATCAGGTTCTTTTAATAATTCTAGAAGGGTATCTTTCAATTCCTCCCCAGTATTACGTTGCAAATATTCTCGATGTGGCCGTACCGCCCTAATCACTACCACGGAAGCCAGTTCATTCAAGAATTGCCATAACTGTTCCTACACGTACTGTTCGAGGACCTGTAGACGAGCTCATTGGGAGAAACACCGAAAAACATGTTTGTTCTCCAGAATTGGTACATTATGTAGACAAGTTATTGCTTCTGCCAAAGAAAACAAAGACTCTCTGACTCACTTATCTAAAATAGCTAGACGAGGTTACCTCTCCCACGGGCACGGTGCTGTTAAGTGTTTTTTCCCCAATCCCGAGGCGGCCGAAACTTTTTTGACTAAAGGTTTGCAAAATTTAGGAGAACTCACCTACGTTCGATGGCAAGATCTACTTCCATCCGAAATGGGTTCTCAGATGTATGCTGAGCTTGTGAAGATGTGCAAAAGCTACAATGCGGATAGCAAACTCGTTTTATATGTGTCGGTGTGCGTTATTTCAGAAACTCCATCGGCTGGTTCGGTGAAATGGGAGCGACAACTGGTGTCTAGGTGCGCCAAAATGCGGTTAAGCAAAGAAGTGCACATACCAGAACGTGAACCTTTGGAAAATCCAGAGACTCTCATACTCGCTTCCGCTCCGATTACAGAACCTGACAGAATAAAGGAATTTCGTGAGAAATCTGTTGACAATCTGCATAGCCATTTGAGATCTAGGGGAGTATCTTTAAAAAAACAGCATCCGGAAATCCACAGACAATTGCAGGCTTATTGCTCAGACGTTAGCGTTAAGTTTACTCCAATTACGGTATATCCCAAAGACTCAGTTTCAGGGAAAAGTTTGATGTGTATAATCATGTTGGAAGCAAACGAAGAGTGCCTCAAGGACGTAGAAAATGCTGGGGTGAAAGTTCGAACTATTGATTTGATGAAGGATATGTTCAATGCATGAAACCAACCAAATAACAGTGTGTTGATAAAACTACCAATATTATTTGACACTCGAAAATATGCAGTTGCTTGGTGGGCAAAAAATTTAATCAGTTCTACATTTGGTATTCCTTGCCAGAATCGGTTAGTGATTTTAGATAATCACTGTAATATTAGCACATTTCGAAAAATAAAATACACTTGTTATGTGAAAATAAGTTAGATCACATTTTAATAACTCTAAAATAATATTAAGGAGTAGGTTGAGAAAAATAATTAATGTCGTAAATGTGTTAATGGAAAAATATATTTTGAGCTGATCATCAATATTTATGAGACAATAATTTTGTATATCTGATAATTTAAAAAATAGCATTTGAGTATATTCTATTTCAGTAAATAAATTGCATATTTTCAAATGTGTATCAAAATATTTACTCCACAAAACATTTAAGAAAATTAAGTTTTCTGTATGCGTAAGATTATTCTCAAGCTTGATGAGTCGTATTGTTTGCAGTCTCAAGTATCCAACACTTTATTTTACAATCTAAATCTCAATAATTCTTGTTGTAAAATATGAAATACCGATGTCTTTAGAGAAACTTCTTTTTTCAAAAAGTCAGAAACATATGAGGGGAGTAAATATTTTGTATGTTAATGTTGGGGTACCAGATTCATTAGATTCGAAAGAAACGAGTTGATAACCCTTTCCTGTGATTTTAGCTTGTTATTACTCTTGCAAATTTTAAGATATTTATTATTAATGGTATGTTGTGTACAGAGTTCCTTTTAAATTATCTGTTTTTCAAATGTGAAGTATATTTTGAAAATTGCTCATTGCAAAGAGTATTGACTGATTTTCATCTGTTGTAAAATGTATGTTTAATACAGTCTATCATACTATAATACTATTTATTTTCAAATCTAACAAAAAAGTATATTATAATTTTGAATAGAAAGTCTGATTGGCAGACTGCTGGTCACTAAATGAAATTTAATTCGTTTGTACTATTTGGAAATCACAGTAGGCCAATAAGTGTGTTCTTGTAATATGATTTCCAAGCTTTTGTCAATAGGGATTATTTTACTGGATCATTGACGGATTTATGAGGATGGGCAGTATTTGCCCCTCCGACATTGAATTCAATACAGTCATTTCAAATGAGTATTGTAATATATTTATGCATAAACTTTCATATATACATTACCCTCTCTGGAAATTAACCCTTGAAAGTTATACCCCCGAAATTCACTCCACTCCCCGAAATTTATATCTAAATCCGCCCTTGTCCTAAATGCTGTATTCATGTTAATCATCATGATATCACCTCTGATTATTATTGAAGATTATCTCAATCTTAAAGTTGTGGTTATAAGATACATTCATTGGCTATTATAATAGATCAAAACTTCACATCCTAGCGGGCACCAGATATTTTTTCCATGGGGGAGGGCCAAGTGATAAATCATTTGAAAAGTCTTTTGGCCTGTATTACCTCTACGAATTTTTCAAAAAAAAACAACAACAGGAAGAACATAATTACCAAATAACGACTTTCAAATAATCTATAGAAAATTCGACTGATTATCTAAAGCTTCTCATGTTATTTTCGTTGTCCGTGATTAGTAATCTTCAATTCCTAACAGTTCTCTGTTACTATATACGCAGGATCATTATTCAAAAAAGAAATACATTTGTGAGAGATCAGGTGATACAGTTGATTACCAGTTGGATAAGCAAAGTGTAATTGACCTTATTAAGTGATGCGACCCCGTGGTTGCCAACTGCGGTAAAATAATGACATTTGACAATTTGACATTTGCTAATAAATAAATAACCTATCTTTCTGAGTTCCTTTTGCATTTTCATTTTTGGTAAATGAGAAACTGATTTCCAGAATATGGCCGAAAAGAGATTTCCAGTCTTCCTATATGAAGTTGGGGCTCCAGAATGAAGAATCAGCTATGAAGAAATATAAGATGGACAATTATGTCCTAAAAATGAAAATGCAGAAGGAACTCAGAACCATGGGGTCGCATCACTTAATAAGGTCAATTGGATAAGCAAAGTGGATCAGACCACTTTGCTTATCCAATTAAGAGGTTTGTACTATCCATGAATATACTCAAGAATAACAAATAATGGAAATTAAAAAAATTGAGAAGTCACTTAATGAGTGACCACTCTGAAAATGTTTTGGAAAGGATGTAGTTTCTGCAATGTAGTTTTTGTTGGAGTTAGTTATGGCAGAACAAAAATTAGATACTTGGACACTATCACTTCATCCAACAAATTATTACCTAAGCTTGTCGCCCACTTGTCCAGCTACAACCAGCTTACTGAAGGTGCTGTTCGTTCGATTTCAAGGAAATTTCAGTTGACATCGAGCGGTGACAGAAACATGTCTATCACTAGCAGCTCTGATGAAGGAGACGTCATTATAGTGGCCGCATTATTGATTGTAGAAGAAAATAGTCACGAAAAAAATGTTGTGGGTCCATCCCATTAATCAAAAGGGCAAATCTGGGAGAGTTTCATCATCTTTTCAACGACCTGAAAGAAGACGAGGAGACATTTTTCCAGTATTTCTGAATGACTACAGGCAAATTTTCAGAACTTTTGGATATTCTAGAGCCTGCCTTAACAAGCAACTTAATTTTTCCCAGTTAAGTTTCATAGGTACCGTCTGACACTGTGCTGTCAACTGATGGAATAGCAAAACAGAGAGACAGATTCCCAGGCACGTTTGGACAAGTTGATGCTGGCAAGAGATGGCTGGCGACGCGCTCACTTGGCCAGTCCGTCACAGCACGTACCGTTATTTGCCGGACAGGATCGGAGAGCTGGAATCCTTTCCGGCGGCGGACGCTCTTGGCTGTGTCGTGCCGGGCTAGTGGGCGGTTGTCTATTTATTTTCATTGTTCCAATCCTATCCGTATTTTGACGGGACGGACCGTACTGTGCTGTGCCGGACAAGTGAGCGACAAGCTTCATCCTCCTGTGTTCACTGTTCCATATATAGATATAGTTACAACCTTCCATCAAAACAATTAATGTGCTGAGCTGGTGAAATTTTTAACATAAATCACCCATATCAAAAGGTGAGCCGTCAATATGCTAAACAGTCAAATGGATAGATTTAGAAGATCGAATTTGTTCACAACAGAAAACATGATAGGTATAATTGGAATTTCTGGGTCAAAGTTAATCTATTGTAAACTGTTCTCTCCCAAAATAACAAAAATAATGTCTCTCGACTCTCGTTTCATGAAACAAATTGCATCATCAGTAGATGACTTAAACGTTTCAGTTTAGCGAAAAATTGACCAATGAACGAAACCTACTATACAATACATGTTTTCCAGAAGAGTGTACTTCCATAAATAGAGATCATTGTCGTTACTGGAGTGATGAGAATCTTCATTTGGAGATGAAAACACATTCAAAAACTTCACAAAAATTTAAAATTTAGGCCAAAATTACATTGTAATCATATCGTTAAACTATTCATAATTGCAGGCAATATCAACGAAGACACATACTTAATTATATTGCAAGAATGTGTAAGTCATAATATTATACATATTTCAAAAAATGATGACAAGTTGATAGAAAACGAAATAAAATTCCACCAGGATGGGGAATAGCCACATTTCAATGTTAGCGTGTGTTAGGTCGGTCGGTAGCCAGTCGGTTCGACGTGGGTGGTTTGTTCACCCTCTCGAATTGACTGCCGTGTTGGTCGATGGTTTGAACCCTAGTGTGAACGATTGATTTTCACCTTCTATCGTCCAACCCGTGTTAGGAATCACACGTTAAAAGGTAAGACCTCGTTCATCCTTAGCTCGCACAAGTTTCGACTTCTGAGGGTTGTCGTTCGTAGGGGTGCGATAGCTTATTAACGAAAAAACAGACAGTTTTTGAGCGAAAGTTTTCCAAATCCATAAAAGTTGCGACAGAAAATTATACAGAAATGCCAATGGCTGATCACAGCTTGAATAATATAAGAAAACGTTTTGAAAATGGACTGTATTAATTTATGTAACTTCGAGCAATATAACCTATATAACTATTTAAGCCCATTGGGCGTCGTCAATTGACGAGGAATTGCGAAAATCATGAAAATACGTGGCTTGTAGACCGATGATATCTGACCAGTGAGGCAACCTAGATTGCCAACCATGTTTCAAAGTATCTGTGAGTGGTGACAGTTCTTTGATTATGCTGAAAAACCTCCATACAAACTCAACGCCATTGTAGGTAAAAGAAGATGCTTTACCTCCCTGGATATTTGTTGTTTTTGGTATTGTGTCTCTTTGATAATCTTTCATTGTTACCTTACATGCATAAGACTTTATAAGGTTTGGAGAAGATAGGCTGGAAGTTTAAAAACTGGTAAAATGCTTGATCGCCAAACCCTATTTGAAAAATAATAATTATAATATCGTCTGTAACATGACAGAAATCTTGACCAAGCATATGCAGAAAGTTATCCTTCTCAATCACTTATATCGTTCATTATTTTCAATAATAAAGTTCAATTATAACTTTTATATAAAAAAATAGAGTAAGTAATTGATGATCAGAGCCCAAGTATGTAGTCTAATCAACAAGTTCAAAAACATGAAAAATAGAGACAAAGGTCCTAAAAATATGAGCGATAGCTCATTCGATTCGGAATCACCTCTAGAAAAATGTTTTTGAAGGATTTTGGTGCAGGTAGAAAATTGCAATTGTTATTAACAAAATAAGATTAAAAAAAATGGTATTTAGTTTTTCGTTAATAACTCAAAAAATATTAATATTTAAGCAATTTTGAAAAAA